CTAGGGCCGTAGAGATATGTATATAGATGATCTAACCTTAGGTATAATAATAATAGATTAACGTAATTATTTTGATAAGAATCTGTAGAAAAAGCGTTCACCCGCTGGCTTATAATTCAGCACAGATTTGCACTCACACGTAGGCCTATTGTAGATGATATAACAAGTTAGATCTAATAATAATAATTTAGATAAGATCATAAGAATCTGTATAAAAAAACACATACCTGCTGAGAAATGATTCATCAAAGATCTAGTCCGCCTAGCCTGCTAGTAAAGTTGCGTTGTAAACACGCGTACTTGTAAGTTGTAACGTTATTATTAGGCCTATACATACGATTGTTAACAACAGGTTCGCATGAACCGGCTGAATCCCACCACTGGTTATTCTGTACTGTACAATTTTGACATGTTATTGATTCGTTTGTTGTATGGCTAAGATACAGTTAGTATACAAAACCTCACACTTCAGCAGATATCAATCAAACCATTCGTGACATCACAGCCTTCATGGAGTACGTAGCACCTCGTTATATATGATAGTTATTGGACCTTCTATTTGTTTAAGTAACTCATATTCACTGCCGGATTTATATATGGTGTAAACCCTGCAAATTCATGCTGACCTCGAGCCCCAAAGAGACTAAATCTGGCCTTGCTCATAATAAGTAGTTTAGAATACTTGTACAAAATCATTAAATACGTTTTGAAAGATCAATTTTTTCTCTTGAAGAAATGTCCAATCCTCCCAAAATTAAAAAAACAGTAATCCAACAAAACTGAAGTGTATAACATTGTGTATTTTCTTTACAACTATAGTCAAATTTACAAATTTCCGATGTTGACATTAGTCTGCTTAAAATAATTAAGAAATATTTCATACATATATATTAAATAGGGCAAGCAAGCATAGTAACCAAAAATCGGTAGAACTAGTATTCAAGTAGTATCTCATTACGATTTTATGACATCAACGTCAGGTCAAAACGGATTAACAGAAACAAAATGGAGGACAATTACATTTGTATTTTACTATATGCAAGTAAGTATATTATCGTTATTTTAGCATGTTTGACTATTGCCTATAGGAGAATTTCATGTTATTTATTATTTTCTTTGAACACATCGACTTTTTTGCAGTATTATTTCTGGCGAGTGGGGAAGGAGAATCTACCACTGACAAGAAAAAAAAAAAAAAAGCTGAAATTTCCTCATCATTTGCCAAAATGCAAAATCCATAGTTCTGATGATTCAAACTAGTCTTTAACAGAAAACCATAAACAAATAATGGGCATCAAATGAAATAACACTAAGACATTAGTTAAAATTGTTTTATTTTTCCAGCTTTATCTACACAAAAGCTCCATCAATCCACACATACTATATATACAACTTCATTACAAGGAGATTTTGATCAACCCTTTCAGTGAAATGTATAATTAGGGATAAAATCAGCAAAGATAAAAGTTAATTTATGTCACATGTTTTCAAAGCCATCCATAAACGAATATTAAAAACAGTGCTAAAACGAATTTACAAGAAATAATTTGCTGAATATATATATATTTATCATGAGAACTATTCTAGCAATCTTGGATTCATTTTCTAGCGTGCTTATATACATATCAATGCCACCCTTTTAACTTTTCTTGGGGTTACAAACACTATAATACAATAATGTTACACGAAATAAAACAAGATAAATGCTAATGGCTGAATATAAAGACTAATTACAGAACTCTCTTTCTGTGACGAAAGAGCTTGCGCTAACTTCCCTTCCACGTGCATAAACCGTGATAATTTAAGTCTTTTTAAGCTGCATAATTCTCAGCGATTAACACCCAGCGTATTGAATACAAAGAAAATAGGCAAAATAATCGATTTCTAAAGTAGCTAGTAACAAGCAGACCAAAACATATATATTCACGTGAACAAATTTTCAATATAAAATTAACTTTGATGAATATCAGTTCTTTACACGAGAGGTCTACAGAAGGGATTCACTATAAACTCAATGCATTACAAAACAATTTTTCACGAATTTATACATTTCCTTAATGTAGTGCAATACTCATACTCACGATGGTTCTTAATATCTGTAAAACACGCTCATGACAGTGAAATGCGATTATTTCCTCTTTCTAGATTTTGGATTGCGCCGAGGATTTTTACCAGCTTTTTTCTTAGGAGCTTCGGGTTTTGTTTTTTTTCGAACGAGCGATTTTTTTGGCTGTTTTTTTGGAGAACGTGGTATTGGTTTCTTCTTGGGTGTGGCCTGAGCTATCTTGATTTTGATCTTTTTTGAACTTGTTTTTGATTTCTTTGCACTAATTTTTTTGTTTGCTTTGTCTTGTAGACTTCGGAGTCTTGGTGATTTAGCCAGCATAGTTTTTGCTTTAGAAGGTGCGATATGATACCGCCCAGACAACACTTGGGTCGTCTGCTGAGACCTCGGTCGCCACAGATAGCCTTCTTGCAAACCCTGTGTAAAAGCGCGCCTCAACATCACCTTGATCATATCTGGGCGAACAGTGTGGTAATTATCCAGAATCCAGCGTCGTATGGCTTGGTATGACGCTCCCGAAGGCTCGTCAAGAGAAGAAATAGCTTCAATAGCCATGTCTAATGTTCTTGGATGAGTAACTGGAGATTTCTTTTTCTTTCTGCCGCTAGAGGTTTTCGTTTCAGCTTTATTTGCTGCTTCCGCACTACCTATAACTTTGGCTTTTTTTGCATTAGCTGACCTTTGACGTTTGTGACTCGAACTGGCACTCACTTTCCTTTTTCCCTTCACTTTTTTCGTTGACACTGGTGCACCATCGTCTGCTTTCTCTTCCGCGTTGATTTCTTCACCTTCGTCAGTAACCCGTTCCTCATTCTCCGTCGCTACGTCTCCTTCTGCTTCTGCCATATCGACAAAACGTACAGATTATATGCCAAAGTGTTGTTTTACTTCTACAAGGCGTGTGTGCCGACGGCGAACTAAATACGAAGAGCGCGGCTGCAGGCGAAAGCTCTTCAAATCTAATAGCAAGCTTCTGATGGAAGTTGTCCATAAGTGTGTTTGTTGCAAATCTTAATAAAATTATTTCAACAATAATCAATGTAAAATCTTGTTTTAAGCAGTAGAAAAAGTTAGACAGCGCAAATAACGGATTTTAGTTCCTTACAGAACTAATACAAGAAAATGTCTGGAAACTATTCTACACTGTATATATGTACACCCCACACGTAATTACACCACATGATCTAGTTATAAGAACAAAAACACCGAGAAGAAACAAAGTTATAGCCTTATTCATATTTTTTTTTGTAATATATACCCCTTTGTGAAAGTTTTCAATCAACAAGTAGTAGTTATTGTGTATGGTAATTTACTTGATTAATTTTTTAAAGACCCCCAGTAGCACAAGTTCAGTTCAGCAGATACTACTCCGTGCTAGATCAAACTCCATGCTTTACTTGAATAAGGTTCAGGATGTAAAACACAAATAGAAAATCTATAGACCGTTTTTACTCGAACAACACAAGCCATGTTAAAAGTTATCTCACTACGAGGTTCTAGCCTTCTCTATTACCTATTCACTGGTTTCGATGATTTAATAAGAGACGAAAGAATAACTTCCTCGCAGTTCTAAGAATCACAGGAACTGTGCCTCGAAAACACCTACCTAAACTTACCTGTCCATCTTTTTTTTTTATCTGAATAGATGTTATATGACTGCTGCTTCCCATTTCATAATTATATCTATCTGTCTACACTATGTTTTTTCTACTACTACATACGAATAGATAATCAATCCGTAGATTATCAGTTGATACAATTGTAGTGAATAAATATACAAATAAGAGATAAAAAATAATTATTTCAAACAATACCTTAACCCCCACCACGGCGCTCAGGGATAATATCGAGAGCTTAAAATGGTAAAAAAATAGCCTGGGTTAGATACCCGCTGTGGGCACAGCGCAGATAGCCCATTGTGTAGCTATAAGCTTAAAAATATACATTTTCTTGTTTCAAAAGAAATTTTGAGAAAATATAAGAAATCAAAATGCTAATAAAAATAACAGCAATTAAATTCGAAATTAAATGTTGATTAAAACTAATTAATTGCATTTTGAAATGTTAACTTCGTCCAGTACTAAACATATTGCAATTCAAGTCTCTCTCTCTCTCCATTAGGCGCCCAATAACGACTTTATTTTGCAATATTATCAAAATATGAACATTAAAACGCGCTATAAGAAAGAGTAAAAATTTATAATAAATGTCAAACGTGACATATACTTTAAAGCACGAAGTTTATATGCAAATATCAATTATCTAAATTTCGAAATTTATTTCAACGCTTAAGTAGATATGCCTGATTAATTTATGTGATATATAAGACGTACTTTTACACAAGGCCTGCAAACGAAGCAAACAAAAATATTAGGGTAAAGAAACAGAATATTTCTAATTTATTAAGCTTACGCAACACGCTATAAGAAAGGATGAAGTTTCGGGACAGAAAAATAACGTATCCTAACATCATTCACAGCAATGAACGATTTTTGGTAATATTACCTCTCTACTGTGAATGATGTTTGGATACGTTATTTTTCTGACATGAACGATGTGTTGGTGACATCCCTTCTCTGCAGTGAATAATGTTTGGATACGTTATTGTTCTGACGTGAAATATGTTTTGGTAGCACTGCTTTTCTGGCATGATTAATGTTTTGGTGGCATTACTCTTCGGGCATGAACGATGTTTTAGTGGTATACTCTTTTAGCATGAACGATGTTTTAGTGGTATACTCTTCTAGCATGAACGATGTTTTAGTGGTATACTCTTCTAGCATGAACGATGTTTTAGTGGTATACTCTTCTAGCATGAACGATGTTTTAGTGGTATACTCTTCTAGCATGAACGATGTTTTAGTGGTATACTCTTCTAGCATGAACGATGTTTTAGTGGTATACTTTTCGGGTACGAACGCTACCTTATTAACATTGCTTTGCGACTTTGAAGAACAGATCAAGTCTTTTCGATATTTTAAGTCTACATTAACTCCGTTAGATGTAAACTACCACCTTGTTACTGTGAAGGAAGAATGACAAAAGAAGTGTAGACGTCATTCTAATCACAAAGTGAACTTTTCAGGTATTATCATGGCTATCATCTCAATCTATATTCCACAGCACGAAGTGGGATTGTAGTAGGTCAGCTACGTAATTCCTTCTATTAATAAAATTCATTTTAATTAACACCACCCAGGTTAGCTGGACTTAATATCTAAAATGCAGTTTCTCATTTGCAAACATGAATCCGTTGCCGTTTTTCTTTTCATCGCTGATAGTTAGTTTTGAGTTTGTGGATTACAAAATATATTTAGTGTGAATTTATGTACACACACAAAACTTTTCTTTTAAAACACTTGATTCGAGAACTAAGACCAACTTGAATATTTAGCTGGATTTGAATATCCAAACTTAGAACCGCAATGCCGCTGCACACGCTTAGCACATCAACCGTGGGTGCATTATAAAAGTAACAATCAGTCCCGATATTCAGTTCAAAGAACCGTATGTAACCTGTGTGGCGACGGGTGCTGCTTACTGACTACCCTCCTTTTTAGTTCAGATTTAAGGACGGCTATAAATGAATCCTAGGGGTCTCTGATCTAGCCATTTAGTTCACGTGCGTATAAAGCGCCGTTCAGTCGAATATGCCAATACCAAGTATCACCACCTGTTCAAGTCATCTAAGTGCAGAACACTTGATTAGGTTGCTAAACTATTGTGTTTTATATTTAATTTTGACCGAAGAAACAAAGAAAGGTGCAGTATCGTCTTTCAGTATCAAAAAAAAAAAAAGAACTTGATAAGATGAGAAAATGTCATGATAATTTCATCAATTTTCTTTACTATTTCCAATAAACTGACAAAACTCAGGCGAGTGTCCACTTGTTTCTATGATAAAGTAAGAATACATTAATATCAACAGTCTTGGTAGTTCTACTATGCTGCAGCGTTTTGTTTGCCTTTTCGTAATCCAGGAACAAGTTCTCAAGTAGAATTATTCGAATGTCATGTTAACAGATGGTGAATTGGTGATAAGCACGTGCATCCTTTGAGAAGGTTTTATTTTTCACATTTCTTGGGACATTATTTGGAATTACGTAATAATCCAGAACGTGCTTGTCTTCGTCCACTGACCGGTTTGGAAAACATGACTTGGGATTATTCATTGCTTTAACGACTGATTATTCTGGTTCAGGCAAGACTATTTGTTTGATAAAACATGTTTTTAATTCAGCCTCTTTAGCATATTTCTATATACAAGAATGTTTACTATATATATATACATATATATGTAAATGAATAAATAGCTCTAATACTATTAGTTACCTTAATTGTTAATAGGCGCTTTTTTTAATGAGCAGAATAAATAATGAAATTAATATAAATCAAAAAAGATTACAAAGAGACTCAAAAATCAAAATTAATTTTTCCATTACCAGTCCTTATTATCATCATTAAACTCATAACAGATAATGTCTGTGGCCATAGCACCCAAACAACTTGAGTATATTCCATCTATCAGATAAGAACCAGACGTCGATGTCAAACTAGCCAACAACTAAGGGAAATCAGTTAAGAGTTAGGAGTTGAGTGCTTGAACCCACAACATCTTAACTCCTACTATCTTTCGCTGTCTGCAGCCAGTTATGGGAAGGAAGTTACCTTTAATACTTAGATGCAACCTTAAAGCAGAAATTATTATCATTAGTATTTTTAAACTATCCCGAATGTAAAACTCCCAACCTCCACCCTTATACGAGATGTACAAAAAGGCAAAACTATTATCATAGTAGAAATAGACCACTGTAGATAATCTGTTGTAGTATCTATACGTCACAACATAACTAGAAGTTAAGATGGTATTTAAAATAGACTGGCGTAAGGTCTTGTTTTAATCTCAAGTGAGCGATATATATAAAGCACAAAAATATTTTGTGTCTGTCTGTTTGTCCGTCCGTTATCTAACTACTTCTAGGTCGCTGGGCCAACTTAACCAAACTTTGTAGGATGATAGTTTGGAACAAAAGTCATGTTAATGGGCGTTCACAACCACTCCACCCTCATTATTGCTGTTATTGAGCATTTATTATCTATGATGTAAGTTAACGTTAACTAAATTCATAGATGGAGCCACGTCCTTACACACACACACAAAAACTATTACATTTTTTTATAAAACAATATACAAACAGTTTTTTTGGGAGGGAGGCACACAAACGTCTTATATATATCTCAGAGAATGCACTAGAACTCTCTATGGAGAAATGCAATGAAAAAAAAAAGGCTTCCACTATTGCAATAATATATAAATTCACCTGAAGTTTCTACTCCAACAGCCACAATAAGGCTGATATGAAGATCAGTTTATTTAGTTATACCCACTTTCTATTTTGATCCGTGCCCTTTCAGCTTTGGCCCGACACTTCTGCAGCCAATTGCCGTCAACTAATTAATCACAGGAACCAACGTGGAAGTACATTATTGGCTGATTGTTGAAAGTGGGTAACAGAAAACACTCATACCGCCACTACCATTTCCTGCAAAGTCACCCTGACCATCGTACAGTGTATACTATGTTTTAAGTATATACGTAATGGATTCTTAAAGCTTATACAAAATTTTTTGCGACGTAATAATGAACACTGTAATAATATATTAGTTTATAATTTTCTTGTGTGAAAGTTAGTATTTTTTTTGTGTTATTTATCATGACATCCACACACACACACACACATATTTTTTAATTTAATAACCCGGACAAAGAACGGGTACCTCAGCGTGTTGTCAAATAGTGGACTTCGTAATAACCAACGACACTACTCTAGAAATGTAAGAAAAGGTTTAAATGTAACAATAGTTGTACCAAGTCAGAAATCAGAAAGTTGTC